TCGTTCAATTTTTCCTCCATGTTTTTGTTTATGTTTTCGATTGTCTCCCTTTTCTTCTTCCTGTTTACTTCTTTGTCATCTTCTAAATGTTTTTATCGCTGGTCTCCAGGTCTGCCCCCGACCCCGGTCCAGCTCCTGTACCCGGTCTCCAGGTTCAGCAGCGTGAAGTCTCTGCAGCATCTTTGTCGCTTCTGTATCAGACAGCTGGTCCGCATCGACCACATCCAGGAGCTGCCGCTGCCCACGTGAGTTAAAGCCAAACTTCTGAGGACAACAAACACAACAAACACAACAAACACAACAAACACAACAAACTCAACAAACACAACAAACCCAACAAACACAACAAACACAACAAACACAACAAACACAACAAACTCAACAAACACAACAAACCCAACAAACACAACAAACCCAACAAACACAACAAACACAACAAACACAACAAACACAACAAACACAACAAACTCAACAAACACAACAAACACAACAAACTCAACAAACACAACAAACACAACAAACACAACAAACTCAACAAACCCAACAAACACAACAAACACAACAAACACAACAAACACAACAAACTCAACAAACCCAACAAACCCAACAAACACAACAAACACAACAAACACAACAAACTCAACAAACACAACAAACACAACAAACTCAACAAACACAACAAACACAACAAACACAACAAACACAACAAACTCAACAAACACAACAAACCCGCTGTAATGAAGCACAACATTTATATGTTATGTGTCATTATACACAGTGCTAAAGAAACTCAGAGATTTAATTGACAGTTGAACCTTAACACACACAAAAATATTCTCAGAAAGTAAAACAACATATCGAATTGTTTCACTTAAATTGACAATATTTAATAAGTTTAGATATGAAACCTTTTCTTATCTTGTTGTTTTGTAGAAACAGGAACTGAAAACCGGTCCTGATGAAACTCTAGAAACTCCCTGTTACCATGAGTTCATTCTGCTGATGTTTCACCTCTTTAAATAAAGATCGAATTTGATATTCGAGCTCACTTCCACATTTAAAAAAAAACCAGTGAACTTCCCTTTTCTTCCTGTTCTTTGGTGAAGCTCGTGTGTTATGTTCTAAAAATGACGATATGAAATGCTTCTTCCTTTAGAGTAAGACGATGTTAAGTTATTTCAAAGATGAAGAAATTAAATGATGAGTGAGCGGTTCTCTCTCTCTCTCTCTCTCTCTCTCTCCTCAGGCCTCTGATCTCGTACCTGAGGAAGTTTTATTACTACGACCCCGAGGAGGAGATCAGCCCCCCTCTGAAGGAGAGGGGGGCGGAGCCAAGCAGCCAGCCGGGGGTCCCGTCTCAAACGTAGCACTGGAGGCTCAGAGGACCACGTGAGTCATTTATATGAGACGTCACTGATTTAATCCTGAATGTAAATCTGATTCATTTAAAATCGTTCATTTCAGGATGTCACTCGCGTCTACAGATCATTTATAGATTAAATCTGATAGATCAAAGTACGTCCACTTAAAGTTCTTTGGTTTTGACACTGATGGGTTCAGATTGTTTTTCTAAAGTGTTCTGAGGATTTACGTTGAGCTGAGAGCTTCAGACAGGAAGTCAAACTTACCTCATGAAGGAATAAGAGGATGACCTTTCTTAATCGTCTGACTGATCAACAGTAACGTTTGTGACGTTTCTCTCCTTTCTCTTCCCCTCCAGTCTTTTTCCTTTCTCTGATTTTTCTGCGTTTTTTTGGACACTCGATCACTGAAGGACGTTCAACTATTCAAACCGGACTCAGAGTGCAGCCAATCAGCTCTCTTTGCTCGGTCCTGTATCCAGGCGGGTTTCAGATGATCCGCCCTCCTCTGAGCGCACAGATAAGTTCACGGCGAGTCGACAGGGGAGGGACCGGGGATGTGGAGACTCCGCCTCTCTCTCAAATGATGTCATCACTGAGCAGCTGGACTAAAGGACACATGACATCACTGTTAGCAAAGACGCTAAATCGCTAAAAACAACAAAAACAAAACAAAGAACCTCGGAGAGAGGAGACACTTTTCGTCGCCTCTGGGATCCTTTACTGTCCGACACACACCTGGAGATTTCAAACCTGCTGCGACCTACACTGTAAAAAGTTCACCGTGACGCCGGGGGGGTCTTTCTCAGAGCAGCGGTTGGTTCAATTCCACAGATCGAGTTGATTCAAAACTCCAGAAACCAGGAGGATCAATGTCGCTTAGTCCTGCACCTGTCATGTGATACAACAGGTCAGATACTTGAGTTTGAATGCTGCTATCAGCAGTTCTAACTTGTACAAATGCACTGTATCTAAAACCAGCTCCTGGAGCATTGTGGGTAAAATGAGCAGATCAGATTTTGCTGTCAGTCAGAATACGTTAAAGGGAGAATTTGAGATTATCTTGAAAAATAGATTCTAGAACAAAACGACCAACACAGCAATAAAAAAAAAAGTTTATTAAATTAAAATAAATGAATGTTTATAGAAAAATAAAAAATACAATTCAAGACCCTTTACACTGTAACTCCAACACAATACTTTTATTAAGCTTCTTCTACCAGGGATGCTGCTTAAGTTACACTCTGATGGTGATTGGCCAAAAAGAGTGGTCTCTTATATCTCATGGTGACGTCCCCGACCCCCCCCCCCCCAACATCCCCAACTAAATTCAGCTTACAAACTAAAGTTTGGAAATCAAAAACAAAATATTTGACTTTGAAAATAAACTTATTTTTTTGACTGCAGTGTGATTGGTGTTCGTCAATCTGTTTTTTTTTTTTTTTAAATCTCATTGAGTGAAGTTTAACTCTGGAACGTATTCTGGTTGATTTATATTAAAGACACAAAGGTCAAAAGGTCGTATTTTCGCCCCCCCCCCCAGCACACGACGCTGCAGACTGAGAAAGCCCCCCGTCAGTGCACACATCAGATCCAAATGTTGGAAACTCACTTTGAGTCACTTTGAGTTCTTTTTAATTTAATTTAGAATGTTATTTATTACCATGCTGCTAAATGCAGCATTAAAGGTACTTCCATGTTGAGCTGAGTTTGTCATGTTGGAATAGAAGTTTTTCTAACTACAGAAACTCTGACGTGTTGAAGTCAAACACAGCAGAGTTTTTCAGGGACGGCTTGAGGTGCGTTTACATGTTGTTTCTTTGTCATAACTTTTGGGGTTGAAGGTCAGAGTCTGCTCGAAACCTGATCCGCAGAGTTCGTCCGACCTAAGTCGTGCGTTTTGTTCAGACCAAAAGTGAAGCCTGAGTTTTGGCACTTTACGATTACTTACAAGCTCAATGAAAAGGATGCTGAAAGACCTTTAATTGGCAGCGTGCACGAGACCCTCCTGACGTCCTGTTGTTCGATCAGAAGTTGTCAAACTCCATTAAAAGTTGCTTGCTTTGTGTTTCTTGCAGACAGAGTTGGCAAAGCATGAATTCAGACATTTCACAAATCTGCATTACAACCTAGTTATTTCAGCATCCTTTCCTCCTGTTTATGATCTTTTAATCACAGTCAAATCTGTGAATTTTAGGGGTTTTTAGTGCTTAAAGGAAGAATGTGCAGAAATCCAGTTTATCCTCTGAAAATGTCTCTCTGAGTTGTGACTGTCAACAAAGAGAGAAGCGCTGTCTGCGATGTTTTCTGAGCTGTGTCTACATCATGTTTACATTGACGGGATGGCTGGCGTATAAAGCTGTTTAAGTCAAGGACTAGAGAAAAGAAGAACACACTCACTGCTTATTTAAATGTCATGTAAGCGTTTTTAGATCACGGTCATTCTGTGTAATTTTACATACAATGTGAAGCTACGAGCTAACTAAAAAGAGTGCTACCAGAAGCCTGCCAACACAACAATGCAGCTCGAGACAAGGACTGTTTTGTCCTGAACCGGGTCCTATCCGAAAGGCCGTTTGCGCTTAGCGCTTAATGCTTAATTATGGTGCGTTCTAATTCATAACTCTTTTGTGTAAACTCGAGTAGAGAGGGGTTGGAGGTGTGTCGCCAAACAGCAGTTTGTTTTGGTTTCATGCTGGTGCTCAAGGGCGACATCTACTGGATCAAAAAGTCACACATTCGTCCTCTAAGTGAGACAGATTTGAGCTGATGCTGGGACCGATCTAAGCGAACAGTTTATCAACTGGACACTGGGAAGAGCAGGAACGTGAATCTAGAAAAGTTCCTTGAGAAAGAGGGGAAAATGAAATGTTGTTATGAGCCCCAACAAGATGGTGTTTAGATTTTTGATGTGTCTGCAAAGGTGAATATTTGTTGCTCATGTTCATTAAATGTTAATTAGCTCACACTAGATACACAAGGCAAAAGATGTGCTTCACTTTTGGTCTAAACTTTACAGCTGCTGGTTCAGTACAGGTTCGGGTCTCCTGCAGAGCTCTTCATTCTACTGTGACATTTTAGCCTAAAAGGCGTTCATGTGTTTTTGTTTTTTTTGTCCTGCTTTATCAGTAATGAATTTAAACGGGCCAAACAGCCACAGATCAGTGAGCGTGTCTGATGAATGTTTAATTGTTTTTTCTGTTTTGTTTTCTGAACTTTTGTGATGTATTTGTACTGAAAAATCACTGCACTGTCTAAGAAAGACCAAAAAACAGGAGAGAAAAAAAAAAAATCAATGTTGGAGACAACCACAGGATCCCAGAGGCGACCGGCCGCACCGACTGCTGTGGCGACATTACCAAAAAACGAAAAAACAGTAGAAGAAGAAGGCTTACGGTCGAAGACTACTGATCTGCATTTCACTGGAACAGGCTGGTGTTTGGATGAACTGGAGTTTGATTGATTCAGACACTTGAGGGAGTTTTGTCCCAGCAGACACTGGGAACACTGGAGCTGGGACGTGAGCGCCCTGTGGGGGACACTTCCATGATGTCAAAACAGAGATGGGGGAGGGGCAGGGCACAAACGCGTCTGAATGCCGCACACCGAAGGACTGATGAAGAGGAAATGTGTGCGCAGGGAAACAATAAAGTAGTAATCTGTCATTTTTGTGCAGTCAACTGTTAATAAAACAGTGTGGGCGGGGCTTATATCGGTCCTCTTTATTTGTTCAGGCTTCGTAAACTCAGGATTTATGATCTCGTTGGCTTACACTCTAATGAGGTCGTAGAATACGTTTTATTCAGAGAAGGTTTTACCACCTGCTTTTGATATGAAATAATTCAAGAACTTTATTTTGGCCAATGTAAAAAAAAAAAAAAAAAAAAAAGTTCTGGAGCAAATCATATCCGTTTTCACATATGCACAAATCTAGATAATTTCGGGAGGACTGCTCCAGATATTCTCCCGACCTGGCTGTGCACATATGCTCCTCACATCTGGAGACTATACCTGACAGACGGGAGGTAACAAGAAGTGTCTTAAAGTGCTGCAGGAAAAATACTAGGGCAAGAAACATAGCTGGCCCAGGAGGTCGGCCTGTGTGTGTGTGTGTGTGTGTGTGTGTGTGTGTGTGTGTGTGTGTGTGTGTGTGTGTGTGTGTGTGTGTGTGTGTGTGTGTGTGTGTGTGTGTGTGTGTGTGTGTGTGTGTTGTGTGTGTGTGTGTGTGTGTGTGTGTGTGTGTGTGTGTTTGAGAGAAGGAGAGAGAAAACAGAGGTGAAGTAATAACGCATCCTTTTACTCTTTATTGTATTTTTAATATCATCCATCTTTTATACAGTACATTCAGATATGACAAACTGCTTAGAAAAGTAGTGAGACAGATGTTCTTATTTTCATTAAGGTTTTGGATCATTCTCGTCATTCACTTATTTCCTTATACACTTTTGTTATGGATCAGAATAAGATTGCACAAATCAATTATGAGTATGCATCAAGAGTAAGTAAACTTGAATACGTTTCGGTCTTGAACATTTAAAATACAAACGCAAAGTGTTGGCCTCATTTGGAGCCCTGCCTGTGGTGTCGCCGTGGTAACTCATCGGTGATCATGTTGTGCTGGGGCTGTGAAAAACCATCTTTGCGGATGGTGTCTTCATGTTGTGTTGTTGTTTTTGTTAAACTCAGTGGTGATATATTGGTCAGGGGTTGAGTGCAGGGTATACACAGGTTTATGGAGTATTCCCTTCAGTCTCCTTAGGGTGTACCCACTTTCAAATCCCCTTTGATTCACCATTTATTGACTGACAACATTCAGCATTATTCAGCAATAGTTTATCTCAGGATGGTGAAGGGATGACCCTCCCTACTCTGTCTCTAATTGGCTAGTACGCACTGACTAAATATGCAAGAGAAGTCTTACATGTCACTGTTTATGACAGACCGTTTATCCTCTGCTGGGCGGGAAGATGAAGAGTACAGTGTTTGCACTTCTTTAAACACCACTACACCACTGGCAATGGTTGCCTCGTGGTTAGTTTGAATCCAACCTGTGTCTCCTTTCACCCATGTCGTTCCCCACTTTCTCCCCCTCCCCCAGATTTCTGACTCTCCGTTAAAGGCATAAAAAAAAAACAAATCTTAAAGAAAGAAGCCGTATTGGTGAACAATGTTTTAAAACTCGTCGTTGAGAGGGTTATGATGATGTTAAAAATCATCGTGGAGCGTTTTGCATTTTTTGGCAAAATGATCAAATAGTGTGTTGTGTTTTTGACCGAGTCGTCTGTGAGTGTATTGTGTCGCTGTTGTTCCAGTCATCGGGGATCAGTGGGATGGTGTTGCTGAGTGTGTAACGTCAGCATTGATTAATGCGTCGTGTTGATTTGTGGTTGAATTCTGCAGTGAGGATGTGATGTCAAACTCAACAGTTTGACAGACGTATTGGTGTTTAGTGAACCTGTTACCTTGGTGATGTTTATTAAGTCGGAAAACATGAATGAATGAAGTTTGGACGATGTGAAAGTCATCGGGACGGTGTTTGGTGTTGTTGAAGTCATCGCTTTTCAGGGGCAGGCAGGAGCATTGATACAGGGCTGAATTTCAACCTTCTTGCCGTCAGGTACAACGCCACAGTCTGGAGTCCCGAAGAACGTTGCTGGCTCCCCCTGACGACCAATAGTAGGTCTAACACACACACACACACACACACACACACACACACACACACAGTTCAAGGTGATGTTCAGGTAATGTTAAGCAAATATAAGAATGATATTTCCACTCATGTTTTCTTTTTCTTAAACTGAAACCGCTAAAACAAAACAGACGTTGTAAAACATAAGACTCCCCTGCTGGTCTCATTGATCCTCTGTACTCTGCTGGTCAATGTGTCCCCCAGCCCTCAGTCAGGTGCAGAGACCGCGTACTCACCTGTACCCACTGTAATCCGGTGTACAGACTCTTCTCCTGAAGCGTCTGGATTTCACTCCGCAGGAAGGTTTACAAAAACTCCACGTCTCCCAGCTATCCCAGATTCCCTGAACTGTAAAAAAACAAAACACACACATATCCTCTTGATTTAGTTCCTGGTTTTTGTTTGATATCTTGGCTGTTTTTATAGTTTTCATCATATAATCAATCAAGTTTTAGCGCCACGCACTTGGACATTTGTCGACATCGTAACAGACCCGCCTGTCGGTCAGATCCGTTCCACTGCAGATGGACCCGTTGTGAGCTTGATAAAGACATTGACGCTCTCGGATCTGACTGCCACCCGCCTTCTCGCAGTTGATGCTCTTCTTTCTGAATGGGTATATACACGGTTTCCATGGCGACCACTGTGACCACACCCCATCCACTGAAACGAAGCACAGAAGTTTCCCCGATATACACAAATGAAGTAAATGTTTTGTTAGTTTTGTTGGTATGGTGCAGGGGTGGAGGGGTGGGGGGGACCAGATTCTTGAGTCTACCTGGACAGTGGACATCGGTCTTGCAGGGTCTGGTGCGACGTCCCTCTCCAGGACATGGCTGTCCACCGTGTTGGTGGGGAGGGTTCTCACACCTCCTGAACGACACCTGAAGCCCCACACCGCAGGTAACAGGACAGGAAGTGAAGGGAGACCAAGACCCCCAGCCCCCATCCACTAGTCAAGAGACAATGTATTAACAGAGAGAGTCATTGTCTAAATCAGCGGTTCTCATATGGTCTAGCCTCAGGACCCACCGGCCACTCCTTCATGAAAAGTCGCGACCCGAATCTCCGATATATTTTTAAACCAATCCGATTTGTTCAATTTGAAGTAGTGCAGTTTGGACCTCAGACGGTGAAAAACGTGACAGAACAAAGAAACAAAACAAATCAAACATGTGGCTTCATAGATTTTTTCGACACACGTTAGCGACCCACTGAAAATGGCTCCGCGACCCACTTTTGGGTCCGGACCCACCAGTTGAGAAACACAGGTCTAAAAAAAGATATTGGAAGTGAAAAAAACCTAAGTAGTTCTCTTTTCATATGACAGAAAAGAATAAGCAATGCTTCTGATTCTTCCTTTTCGACAAAGTGAGCAAAGTCCTGAAGTCCTGATGGTTCTAAAGATGATCTTGTCAGATTTCCCGGTGGTGTGAGGCGTGTTATGAGTGATCCCACCCGCTCAAAAGACCGTCCTTTGCTGCACCAATTTTCAAACGCGATCTGATGCTGATTCATTAATTAATTTATCACTGAACGGTCGTCCAAAAACTATAAAGTCTTCCTGACCGTCACCTGCCATGTTTGTTTAATAGCCGTGTTTGACTGTGAGAGATTTTATGGGATTTCAGGACTCTGCTTGTTGGTGAATGTAATCTTATAGTGTGTGGTGTGCTGTTCTGGTCATGTCGTTGCTCTTCACACTGAAGGATCAAAACTGTCGTCTTGTGTGAGGTCTCTCAAATTTTCAATAACTCTGAAGAGTTTTAAAAATATTTCAGTGTGGGCTTTACACATGTGGACAGACAGACAAGTGTACCTGGGCAGTGAGGCAGGTGGTTGCAGTTCGCCGTCTGGCTGTCTTCACCCTGGCAACTCCTGCCGGGCGGGCTTGATGAAGGGGCGGGGTTAGAACAGGTGCGTTGGCGAGTTCTGATGGGGACTGGGCCTTGTGAGATGCAGGAAGAAGAACACTCACCCCAAGTGGACCAACCGGTCCAGAGCCCGTCCACTGCCAGAGAAACAGATAGAGACAGTCACAGTTTCACCTTCTTTTTGTACTAAATAATCCAGACCAAGCCGGGAACCTTCACCCTGAATCACATGTGTCTGTATGTTTAATAAGGTGGAGAAAGTTTGATGTGTGATGCGTGTGTTACCGGGACAGGGACTTTGACAGCTGCTGCTCCGAGTGCTCGATCCATCACAGAATCTTCCACCATATTTAGGAGGGGGGGAATCACATCTCCGCATTGACAGCCGAAGTCCCTCCCCACAAGAGACTGAGCACGGTCCAGGTGGAGACCATGCCCCCCAATTCCCATGCACTGCACAAACAGCCATTTACAACAAACATCAGGTTTTTGAAAACAGTCCACCAGGTTTGAAGTTTTGTCTGATTGGTCATGCACTGACCTGGACAGTTGGGGAGTTCGCTGCAGTCCTGTAGTTGGAAGTTGTTTCCATGGCAACTCTTACCTGGTGGAACCGTGTCAGCAGAGGGGAGGGGGTTTGTGCAGGTTCGTCCTCGCGCTCTTGAAGGGATGGTGACGTTTATGCTCTGGTCATTGATACACGACCCAGAACAAGGTGTCCAACCAGACCAAGCCGTCCAACCTCCATGAACTGAGAGACAGAAGGGTGTCTACTGAGAGGTAACAGTCATACAAGGGACAGAGAGACAGGGAAGACAGGCAGGTTACCTGGACAGGTGGTGTGTGTTGGGCACACCTCTGTCTCCTCTGATGGACCACTGCAGGCAGAGCGACACTCATGAGGGCTCGAACAGATCCTCTCTCTCGTCCTAACTCCGCCCTCTCCACATGTCACCGAGCAGGGCGACCAGAGGAGCCACGAGCCCCACCCTTCAGCTTCACACACAAATACAGACATGCTCAGTGATAAAACAAGTCTTATTCAATATTAATGTGATAAATGTGTGTGTGTGTGTGTGTGTGTGTGTGTGTAGTATGTACCGTCGCAGCAGGTGCCATTGCAGGGTTTAGTCTGTACATTGTCAGCAGAGTTCTCACAATCTGGATTGCCGATGCCGTAACACTTCCTGTGTCTTTGTGTCACTCCCTCCCCGCAAAGGACGTTACACTGTGACCATGGCGACCAGGGAGACCATGCAGGTGGCCTGAAACCCAAAAAAACAATGACTGGTTGAACTCATCAGGAAGAGTAAAGTTTAAGTCAGCATTTTTATGAATTGACGCTATACAAATAAAAAGCCTGATTAACAGCAGAGCATAGTTTTCACCTGATGCACTTACTCAAAGTGAATCAAAGACGCCTCTTCACACTCGGCAAAGTCAATCATGCAAATTATACAACAGGATGTGTCACAAAAGTGTCCCACACTGATGTCAGTTTTGCCATTTTGGGTTCATTCGTGCAAATATCTGTTCACAGAAACTAACAAAAGCTAAATCGCTGCCACGTGATCGCCAATGGGATCTGTGATTCCATTACGACCGATGGGATCTGACTGTTAATATCTCCCTAATGGATATTTCCCTGTGTACAGGCAAAGCCCTCTGAATGCTTGTGATGATAATACTCCGAGCATCAACTAACCCCAGACAGCTGACACCAGAAAACACCAGCCTCTTCATTTTCTTTTCTTTTGCTTCTTTTTTAACTAGCAAATGTAGTCTCACAAGCCCTACATGCACTTGCACTGCACTCTTTAGAGTGTTCAATTCAGATTGTTTAAAAAGGGCCTCCAGTTTGAGGGTTGAGGTCAGCGTTAAGGCATGTTTGTAACTCAAGGTGGAGCTGGTTGTCCTAACTGAAAGATCTGCTCCTCTAGTTTACGGAATAATGATGATGAGGCATGCATGGCACTTTGAAGTGTGTAAATGTTCACATGAGACTGACTCACATGCACTGCACGGTCTTTTGCCTGCTAATCCCCCGGTGTGTAAAGTCAGGGTAAGGCGTGATGTGTTCATGCAGCAGGTTACAGTGATGAACATTCAAGGTCGGTGAAGTGAAGTGAAAGTGTAAAGGCCTTCTAAAAGTTTGTCCTCAAGGTTAAAAAGGTCACCGTCGAAGTTCACTTTTAAAGAGTTTAGTGAAAAGTCGAGTGTGTGCACTGACCCACAGGAGCGGCACACCCCATCCGTTGCCTGGTAACCATAATGAGGGTTCTGACAGCAGTCGTCTCCATCCACTTCACCGATGTCTTCATCACACTGACCTAGGATCAGATCGAAGCGTGCAAAACAACGCACACACTCTGCATACACACACACACACACACACACACACACACACACACACACACACACAACAGTAAGATTAGAGATGATTAATGCTTTTTTCACTTTCTCTGTGTGTGTTTGCTTGGTGTGAGTGTGTGTGTGTATGTGTGTGTGTGTGTGTGTGTGTGTGTGTGTGTGTGTGTGTGTGTGTGTGTGTGTGTGTGTGTGTGTGTGTGTGTGTGTGTGTGTGTGTGTGTGTGTGTGTGTGTGTGTGTGGTGGGTGGGTGTGTGTGTGTTTTAGTGGCCTTTTTCCAGGATTTTGAAACAGGGTTATTTTGTTCTTGTTTCCCAGAAAAGTTACAACATTTTCACATGAATCCGCTTGTTTCGTTTTTATGAAAACTGCTGAAGGAAGCTCTTCTGCTTTGTCAAAACTTTCACACCGCTCTGACAGTTGATTTCACTCCTTCTGATCACGCTGTTTGCTGGTTTTTGCGGTCTTTTAAAAAATTAATTTTAAACCACTTTTTAGATTTTCTCCTTTCGGCCTACACGGCTTTATTTAGAATAAAAAAAATATAGTGTTTGGTTTGTTTTGTCTGCACACAAAATCAAAGTGTTATTAGTAACAAAGACTCAAGGAATCAACTCAAACATAAACTCAGATTAAACATCACTCGGAGTGAGAACTGTGAGATGACGCCGCTTCCACCGTTAACACAAAGAGCAACAGAAAAAACACAATGTAGTGATTTATAATTTCCAAGAAGTCTAGGCTCAAACTTTTTATGAGTCAATTTTTGAACAATTGTTCTGTTCTTGCTTTTGTTAATTAAAGGACACACGTTTAACAAAGGTTGATTGTTTATTGTTCCTCGTTAGTTCCACCATCTTTATTTTGATTCATACACATCTGCTTCAAATCTGACAGAAATACTTTCAATTCTCGATTTAGAGGGTGTGAAGGATATTTTGATCCAATCTTTTATTAAACCACTTCAATGAAGGCTGCTCAGGCTCTGAATAAACCAGCCCGGTTTAAACAAAGAACTCCAAAGCACAATGCTATCCATTTAAACAATGCAGCATCTACTTTCAAAATGTATTTCTTTTTGGTCCATATGTATTTATATATTCATCACAGTCCAGTGACATTCAGTAGTCTTATTTAAGTATCATATCTGTTTTGTCTTTGCTGGAGTTACAAGATTCTTTATTTTTTCTTTGTATTGAATTTCTCCCAATTTATTTCAAAAAAAGTTTTGCACTCGAAAGACCCAACAAGACTTAAAAACAAGAGGGTTTTAAGTTACAGATTTCCTTGTTTTATTTAGCAACAGTTAACATTAAAGTATCATGCCACATTGTCCATGATCTTCTCATAGAAAATACAAATCTCTCCAGAAATGTGATTCTTATCTGTAGTTCAGACTTACCAGAATGCTCCACAGAAACCAGCAGCAGAAGCACGACCAGCAAACCCCTCTGAACCGTCAGAACCTGCATGTTGCTGCTGCTGCAGAGACCTGAGGAGAGTTCAGTGTGTGGACTCTACTTTCTGCGTCTGGATTGGTCTTGTTGTGAGGAAAAGCAAGAGTTTCCATATGAGGTAAACCAGGCCCAGAGTACTTCCTGTTTAGGGGTTAATGATCTCAAACAGAGAATGTAGCTCTTATGCCAATACTTCATCAGCACACAAACTGAGATTAAAGTCAACTAAATGTGGTAAAGTATCTGCTTTGTTTGTACAAGTAAACAAACCTGAATGTAGGACTATTTAAAGGGGAACTCCTGTATTTAAAAAAAACACAGCCCTGTTTAATGTATTTGGTGTCTAAATGACTGATACATGAAGTTTTGGACTTTCTCCCGTTGATTGCTTCAGCCGCCAGCCTTGAAACAAGCTGTGATGCCTGAAACGCAATCCATGGGGGATCGCCAGCTATAGGCCTATACGCACCTTATTGAGAACATCGTTTAACTGTCATAAAACCAAAACGGATGAGTTATCAAAAGATTCACCCCTTGTTCAGTGTGTGCCGATCAAGACGTGAGCAAATCAGACCACGTTTTTTAAACCAGGTTGTAACCATGATCGTTTCTGCAGTAACAAACGGGCTCCTTTGAATGAGTATGTATGTGATTTCCCGTGCTTCTGCAGTCAGCCTTAAGCGGACACCGGAGGAACTGCAGGATTTTGCACTTCCATATCAGCTTAATTTTTTAACAGGAGCAGCGAAATGATCATTTGAAACAACCTGAGTAAAATAACGGGTCGGTATTGCTTCAATGTATGAGGGACAAAAAATGATTAAAGTATAAATAAATAAATAAATGTTGGGAGAAATGCATACAATAATGTATAAATAAATAAATAATTAAATAAATGCATCAATAAATATATAAATAAATAAATAAATGTTGGGAGAAATGCATACAATAATGTATAAATAAATAAATAATTAAATAAATGCATCAATAAATATATAAATAAATATATATATAAATAAATGCAACAATTCATATAAAACATTAATATATAAATAAATATATTCATATATTTATGTATGTATTTCTGTGTCCATGTTGTACAAGGAAAAGTAAATATGTAAATTAAGTGGGCCGTCCTAAAATTACTGAAGTAGGATTGGTCAATTTTGAAAAACAGACAGAACCAAATTTAATTTATATACTTTTCCTCTTACAACCTGGACACAGAAATAAATAGATGTGTAAATGTAAAATACGGAAATAAATTAATAACTCAATTCATGTGGAAATGTATGCATTGATACATATATAACTGTAGAAATATGCTAATAAATAAATAAATACATGTAAAAATATATAAATAGCCTTTTTCATTAACAAATTGTATTTATTATTTATTCATTGATGTATTGTTTTCAGCATTTATATATTTATTTATGCATTTATTTAATTATTTATTTATTTATACATTATTGTATGCATTTCTCCCAACATTTATTTATTTATTTATTTATTTATTCATTTATTTATACTTTAGTCATTTTTTGTCCCTCATATCAATGTAGTAATCTGACAATGAGACAGGCCAATCTGGGACAAGTTGTGTTAGACAATACTAATCAAATGATTTTATTATTTCTCATTGCAGTTATTATAATTTGACTTTTATTAGAAGTTTCTTCATTTCCAGATGTAGATGTGCAGTAGCCTATTTGTTATTAAGGTTACTCACTCAGTCAGTGTTAACAAGAAAGGAACACAGATAGTTTAGATCCTTGGATGAGTGGAGTGGTTGTTCTGTGATCTGTTGGTAATGCCTCGCTGCCTCCAGTAGGGGGATATCGCGCGCCGCTTCAACGGCAGTTTGTGTTTTCCTTCATTCTCCTCTAACTGCTGTTTTCCCCGATTTAAGGTAAATATCGTACATGAAGCATTGTAAGTGTGAGAAGACATGTTAGCAATACATTTTCTTCTGTTACTGTGATGTTTTTTATGTACGAAAGTTACGTTTTGTACCGATTTACAGTTGAAAGTGTGTTGGGCTAATTCACACAAACGGGTTTGTTTTAGGTTTTAAACTAGTGTCAGGAGACCCCGTAGCTGCGCTGCCGTCTTCATCTGTGTAGCATGGCCCCCAAGTTATATTATAGTTAGTTAGTTATTATTATTAGTTATAATATTTACAGTCTATGGCCCCAAGCCACGGTTTTGTTTGTGTACTGTACTTTTAATGTAAGATATGTGTAATGATAACGTAGTGGGTGAGAAATACAAAATATATTTCATGTATTTTGTAATACTTATGTTTATTTAATGTAGTTAAAACAGATACCTTTGTCATGTAACAAAGTGCTTATGAATATGTAACTGTTATGCCTATAATGTGAAATATGTAAATTTGTTTCTTACAGTTTGAATACTAAAGTGACTCAATACATACGAGGGGAGGGGGGGCAACAGTTGTGCGTGGGGTCATTCTTCTCTCACTACTATTTCCTCTTATTGAAGGGCACAACACCAGCCGGTGAGTCTTAACACTGTTGATGAACATGGGGGAGTCTGGAGAGAGTCGACACGTCTGCACCCTCAGTTCACAGGGAGGATGGTTGATGAGCCCCTCGTTTAAAAGATTCTGTCACACCGTCAAGGTAAAGAAAGTCACGCACAGATGCATCTTTCCACACAGTACTTGTCTGACTGTCTGAGGTAGAATCTGAATGACTGATCTCTGCTGCCAGCTGGTGTTCAAACAGCTTATGACACTCAAGGCTAAAAGTAGAAGTTATACAGCTAACTGATTCTTAAAGAACTGAGGTGGATTTCTTTGACATCTGGGGCGACTCCATCTCAACTTTGAGCAGAAAATGAAAACTTATATTTTACGATTCGTTTTATTTAATTGATGACACAAATCAAGACAAGATTAGTCAGATTGTTTGACAAAAAAAGTAAGATTCTCTTATACATCATCTGATGAAGCTCAAATGAACCAGGCCTCAAGTGGATTAATATTACAGGCTGTTTTAAAGAAACGTATGTTCAGGCACAAAGCAAACCCAACCAAAGAAACCTGAAGTACAACCCAGGGTCTTGGCTGAGAAAAAGGAAGACACAGTTCATATAGCTGTCATCTACACAATTCAGTGGTGGACCAAGGTGGCAATGCCTACCCTGCGTGAATAAGAGAAGGAAAACTACTCTGTACATAAAAGGAAAGCATAGTCTCAGATACACAAGATGTTTATCTTCTGGCATTTCTCCACATGAATCAAAGAGGCTATACAGATACAAAAATGCAGTCCCTGTTGATGAGATGATATGAGTCTCTGGGGCCGATGGAAAACTGTCCATTTTCGCAAATCTTTTTTGGTTGTGTTGCACGTTTGGAAGAACTCGGGCTATAACCTGCGACACCACAGGCCAGAGAGCATCTCCACCCACAAGGCCCGCTACCACAACAGCTTTTTCCCTGCTGCTGTGAGACTTGTAGCACAGGACATTAAGATGGGAAAGAAGTACTTCACCCCACACCTCACAGACTAAATGGACAGCTGACCACCTCACTGTACAATACAACTGTGCAATATTAACCTTTAAAACAAAAAACAGTGTAATTATATAATGTGAAAAATATGTGTGCAATAACCTCAGGTGCAGTAAGAGATGTAGAAAGTTAGAGACAAGAAAACATATTTATATTTTCATTTCATACAGTGTTCCCTTTTGTTATTTTTTACATTATATCTTTGCTTTAATACAGTGTATAGCTTCTGTACAGTTTATTTTAATTTACTTAGCTGTTACTACAACTTATACATTTTAGTATTTTATTTGTACTTTGCTACTCTTTTTTTTCTTCATAATGCTATTTTATTTTATATATAATTTCAACTTTTTTGTAGAAGCTGACTGACCAATGTACCTGTACTGTCCTGTACAAATGGCAATAAACATCTATTCTATTCTTTTTGGTTATAACTTAAATGATTTGCAATGAGTTTTTTTAAATTTCCTTCAGCTTTCTCTTTGTGTTACTGGTCTGTTGATCTTTCAGGTCCACTGTAGTTTTAACACTAAAATGACCTACTGATCAAACCAAGCCTGCAAGGCTCTGTACAGTTCAGAATCTGCATTTGACATGTTTTCTTTGGATGACATGTATGTGCCGTCGATAGTGTATGAATACTGCTGGTTGAGGTACTCGCCCTGCCCAGACAGTGTTTGTGAGGATCTACCCAGACATGCTGCGAGGTGGACAGTTGCTCTGAATGGAAAGATAAAGAGCACCAGGGACAGGGCCAGAGTGACAACATAGAACGGGATTTTCATCTGGAACCTGTATGGAATGAAGACTCGGTTTGTCCCAGGTTGACCATATATTTCTCGTAGCTCCACCATATGGTTCCATGCTGGGTCTACTGATTTCAGAGGTCCAACGATGATGTTTGGGATGCGCCCTGCGCCAGCATTCTTCATTGAGTTCCAGTATGGTGGTAGTTTGGTGGGCTGATGGTTATTGTGATTTTGACAGCGACAATGTTTTGCACAGCCGAAGGTCCTGTGATGAGGTTGTAGGCTTCCTTTAATAATACCATACGCCACTTTAGAATCAATGACAGAGTTCCAGGGAGAATACAGGATCACATCTTCGATTGTGGACAGAGGGAGCAGAGAGCTGGCTGTCATCAGGGGCTCTTCAATTAATCCATGTGCTACGAAGATGATGTCGATGTTCTCCCGTCTGTATACTCCTTTTCTCATCCAACATTTGTTTTATATAATAAAATATATCCATGAGTTGAAGATCTCAGTGTCATCATTCTTGACAGCCTTGACAAGATGTCTTGATCTTGACAATATCTTTTAACAAACTTGATGAAGTCTTTCTTGTCCTGAGGACTCCTGTTGCTGTTTTCAATGCAGCTCTTCTGTACTTCAAACTCCTTAAACATTTTTCTGTTGGAGGAAAATGAGAAAAGGGGCATCTTAGTCACAATTTTCCAATAAATCAAAAAACTTTGTCTTTCTAGGAGCTTTTTGGCAACAAGGTATCTGCAAAGGGTGCATGTGATTGCACCACTCTGCAGTTTTTGCCAATCTTCAATCAGAAATGTCTTTTTCATAATCATTCACTTCATTTTTTTATTTATTCTTCAACAGTTTGGCATTTCGACATGAAAATTGACTGTTGATGTCAGAAGACAAACAGTTAGCTCAGCCGTTAGAGGGAGCACTTCTCTCAGTCACTTAAAGTGGATTTGTAATGTGTTACAATAAAAACTCCCTCAAAACATCAGCACTTGCATTTCAACTTTAAAAAAAAAACCTGGATTACTTGTTGGTCCAAGTAATCCAGCAGGACTGATCAGTTATACGGTAGTTATTCACATCTTTCTCTATACGATCTTACTGCACCCTACAAACTCTTCATAAACATATTTCATGTAAACAGTTTGTGAGAGTCTATGTGGAGAATCACAAAAATATCATACTTGATCTTATCCAGCTGCTTCCTCAGAGTGCGGCTGATCTTTTTAAGGTCGTTAGCTGTATCTCTCAGTGATTGGCTCGCTTCAGTCACATGATTCTTCTCAATCAGGTCTTTCCATTGGTTGATTGCCTCAGGAAGTTCAAACGCGATTCCAATCGCTCCCCCAACAGCCTGACAATGAACAGAATCAAGACATGGTTTACTTTTAACATAATAAACCAACATATACATGAATTGTTTCATGTAGTAATGTGATATACATTGCAATGTAACACCGTTGAGCATTATTTACTTTAATTTTTTGTGTAGTTAATTCATCTTACCATGGCACCTCCTTTAAGGACTGTTTTAAGTCCAGTCTTAGAGACTTTTTAAACAGCTGTTGGCCTCCTTTGGCAAACAGAAATTTTAATTCCTTCCCACCAGCTGTCAGTGTGAAAAATGATAAAATACCAGCAAATACGACCATCAGTTCAGGGTTAAAGGCTCTCTGGTTGAGCCCTATGCTGCCTGGTCCTCCATTAAAAAATAACTTGGGCCGTTGGAGCATTTGCATAATGAAGTGAGGATGCATTCCACTTCGTCTGGCCATGGCTCCCAAGATTTCAGTCATAACATGACGGTCCAGATCATCAGGGCCTGTAAAGGATCCCGCCTGCTGCCTCTCTTCCTTCAGCTTCTGGAAGAGTTTCTGGATTTTTGTGGTAATTTCATTGCTCTTGCTTTCTATCTTCTTTGCGTCTTTCATGGTGTCGCTTGACGAGAGGTGTTTAGTGATTTTAGTTATCACAGATATGCCGAGGCCTGAAAACACTCCTCCCGCTAAACCTAACAATGGAGCAGCTGCACCGCCGGTGCACAGAGTGGCCACACCGGCTCCAAGGAAACATACAGCTCCAACCACTGCCACTGACCTGCCGACAGCTTTACTGGCGTTCCAATTCTCTCTGAGTGACTCAAGCTCCTGGGCCAGCTTCTTCAGCTTCCTTGCACACTGCTCCCTCTGCTCGATCCAGGAGAACATTTGCTCCAGCAGCTGGTCTGCAGTGGACATGGTGGAGGTCTCTGTGTCCTGCTGATCTTGCAAATAGAAAGAAAATCTGAAAGAAGAGAGTCAGAAGTGGAATAACAACACACTTTAAGTTTCCATCCAAAACCATCCAAGAACAGTTTCTTTGGTTGAATTTAAAGCAGACTTTGGGACATTCGGTCCAATTCAATTAATTCAGATAGTAAATAATAATGGGCTTTGAATAATCGTTGATTAGTTTCCGTTGACTATCAAAGTATTTTGGCTTGAAATGCCCCTTCCTGATGGTAACAAGGGCAGCCTCAGAGCCCTGAGACTTTTTCACATTATTTTTTATCCATTATTGCTTGTCCATTAATTTTGACAAAACAGTTGTGTAATTCATTACGCCCAGAGGGGCTTCTAGATTAAAATATGATTGCCTTGTACTAACAAGTCCATCTGGTTCTGGTAACAGAGGTGGTAAAAGCTTGCTTGTAGACTTTCCAAGGGCTTATGCCTTTTTGGCAGACTTTGTTTTTGTAAATGCTTTTTGTGTTTTGCATTTTTTGGCACTTTTTGTGAATATTTTTAACTGCACTTTGGGAGGTCGGCTAAAATAAATTACACCATTGCTACATTTTATGACTACGCCTGTCTTTTTTATCCAATTTTGAGGTGTTTGAAAGATAACCCTGCTGCACTTCTTATCCTTTAAGCCCAGGATGTTTGTTTAACCCAAGTGTCCCAGGAGGAAACTGCCAAAAATGTATAGGTTCCTGTGTATGAGCAGTTTTGCCCGCCCGCCAAGCAGCAAAAAGTGTAGACCCCTCCCTATAAAAGCATCAGGACTTAACTTTGTCTCTAAGGCACTCTTACTGCATCATGTTCATGATAATAATCCGTCAACACATTTGAATAAATAAGTCTAAATTAAACAAAACTTGTTACTGAGTGTTAGCTGACCACGTGTAAAGAAATGTTTCCAACCCAAGTTGGAAGAATTATACACAGCAGACTGACATAAAGCAGAGCTACTGGTTCATGTCATACTGAACATACTCTGTTGAACTTTCTCTGACCTTTTTTTAGATAAGAAAACTACACGCCCTTTAAACTTTTCATATATATGTACAGTGTTGAACGGGCCATGTCACTTTTGTGCAAATCTGCTGAGTCATTTTGCACTAAATATATATGTTCAACTCCTGTGATTGTTTAAGAAAACCTCATACTGTATATACATATTATGTTTAAACATGCTAAGTCACATGAAGAAGAAAAAATCAGTCTTATTGAGATGGAGTTAAAAGTTTGTAAAACAACAGAGAAGGCATATCGTGTTATTTAAAATTGAATGCACGGCATATGTTCACTTACAGACAACTAGAAGAAAAAAGTTGTCATCATGCTGGGCAGTTCTACAAGAAGTTTATTTCTTTGGGGCACAATAGAGAAACTGTATATATTCAAATGCACTTTGTGACAATGTGCTCGTGAATCATAATTTTTATCAAAGAGGTTTTATTTTTAGAAAGATTTTATTTTCTTTCAAAGGTCTTTTTATTGAACGATAATAACAGAAAATAGCTTTTACTGTACAGGGAAATATTTTTCTTTTCTTCCCCCCACCCTTAACAAAAACACCTATACAGGTCGCAAAACTTCCAAACATGAGACAAGCCTAATCCAGACGACAAACAACCACAGCTGCACCTAGAAGTCACATTTTGAATAATAAAAGGTCAAGGTCAACAATAAACATATCTGTACAGACAAGGGCAGTCCTTCCTGCGAACTCTAAAGGAAGCCGAGTTGCATTTAAAGAACTATGTTGGTGTATAGGATGCAGTAACACACCCCAAACTAATGTGTCCAATGGGTCCAGATGTGCAGAGACAGTTTTACTAAGGGATTACTATTAGGAAAATCAGAGGCTAGTGGAAGTGCAGCACCCAATAGGGCGGGCCAGGATATAGGAGCACTAGCATAGACCTCCATCATTACCCAGACAGGACATGACGGTTCCAGATGAAAGTGCACCCAATACATTGTAACAGTCAGAATATATTAGTAGTACCAAATAGCGCCACAAGGTGGTGTCTCTGTTTTGTTTAAGTGTGTGGGTGAGAAAGTCTATTTATGTCAGTCCTCTTGTATGTCGATCACGAGAGGACTCTCCAAAAACTCTAGTGACGAGTTGGTGCAGGATAATAGCCTATTTTTACCTGTCATGTGTGATCAGGATATATAGTGCCGTGCTGACCTGGCTTTGTATGGTCCGTTTAGTAAAACAGAATAAAAGTGCCGTGTGGAAATCCCCAACTTTGTCGTCTGTTTAACTGATGCTAACCAGCTATCCCGGGACTTATTGCCAACTAGCTACACCTCCTGTACCAGCAGCGTTACAAGTGGCGCCCGAACATCGTTCTCTGGATCTCAACTCAACACCTTTACCAAAAGTACAGACCGGACCGGACATCATTCTACATTTTTCACCTTGAAAGTCGGTGTGAGTGGATTTTTGACTGTTTTTCCCGGACGTGTACCGTGCTATGTTTCAAGCTAACTTCTCCTGGAGCTACGCTAACCATGACCGTGCACGTTTGGATTGTTGAAGCACGCCACGTTTCTACGGCTTCGGATATATGTTTTTGCTTCATCATAAAAGCATCGAAGAATTTTACAAGTCTGCTTGACAAAGTCCATGTTCAAGCAGCATTAAAAGGCCATCCATAACTTGTCCATAAGTGGGATTGGATGCCTCCAAGCTTCATTATGCCTCTGATTATGGACCTTTTTCACTCTTAAGTGAATTGACCGAATTTACTGGACTGAGTAAGTAGAGGACTCTGACTGGATAACTGAAAATTCATGTTTTTTTTTGTACATCTATATGTTATAGCTAACATTATTCTCGCTGACTTATGAGTAGGACAGTAATCTTACTTTATTTTCACCAGTGAATATTGAGCTTTACAGTAAAACGACCTTTCATCGCTATAATTTTTTTTGGGGGGTATTCTATGTTTTGCTGCATTTTCAAAACTATAGATGCAGTTTAAATGTAGTTTGTGAGAGCTGATATGTTTCCACTGTAGTCAGTGAGACGTTAATTTGCTTCTGCTCTTAAACCACAGCACACATTTTGACGAGTAATATTGATTTGAATTACTGAGGCATGATGGCATCCCACCCAGACATACAAGCTGAAGATTCTGACCATGACTCTTACATAGGCATTGACTCTTTTGCAAGATACACTCTTCCTTGTCGCACAACTTCAGGCCTGGAAGAACAGGTAGAGGACCTACAAACAGAGGTTGAGAGACTCAGGGAATGTCTGCAAGACTCCTTAAAGTTACAACGCAATGTGCTTGAACACTGGGAGCAGTCTAGGAAAAAAGACTATGATATTCCTGCGGCCCAATATTCAAGCCCTCTACCCAAGGCCACCTCAACCCCATACACGCCTGCTGTTACCATCCCAGAGCCAACACTCCTGGATTCAAAACCCTATTCTGGAGCTCAAGCTGGTCATTCAGACTTTTCCCTTCCGACACATTCACTCGAACTCAGCAACACATCCAGGATGATTGCTGCTGCATTGCATCATGCTAAGCTAGAGCCCTGTGTTTGCTGGTGATAATAAAGTGCACCCTGAAGACTGGTTACATCAAGTCAACACTTACAGATCTTCATTGAACCTGACTGATGTACAAATATTAAACGAACTGCCACATTTCCTTGCTAGAGAGCCCAGCAAATGGTTCAAGGCACTCAGTTCATACGTCGTCACATGGTCTCAATTCTGCCAGCTCTTCAGAACTGTTTTTCTGCCATCTGACAACCAGGAACGTGTCCTAAGAGGCATTCTTGACCGTGTTCAAGCACTTGATGAGCCCCTTCTGACATTTGTGGCTCATATGTTGAGTGAGTTTAACAAATTGAAGAGCCCACCCCCTGAACAAGAACAGATTGAACTGATATGCAAACATTCTCTCGAAAAATATAGAGTAGCACTGTATGGCATGCCTATCTTTTCAGTAATGGACTTGTTGCTCCGAGCTCATGAGGTGCATGCAGTCCTTGGACCGAGAGGCAACCAGCCTCCTACCCAGTTCAGGAGAAACCAGACCAATGAGCCCTACTGCTTCAAATGCTCTCGGCCTGGGTTTACGTCTCGTACTTGCCCGAGCTGCAACGCTGAATCACATATGCCAGCACCCCCCACTAGATCTCAGGTCAGTCCCGAGCCCACCCCCCTAATAAATCTGACCCCAGACAGAGGTGAGCGAAGACCTAATTCAGGAGGCACGTCAGCAGACTCCCTACTGCCGACCAGACAGCCGGGAAACTTCAGGGGAGGGAGGACATTTCAACGAGGCAATCCTCCCTCCAGACGCTAATTGAGCCTCAACCACTGACCACACCCCCACAAGAGAAACATGTTCTAGGCCATGTCGAGGACACTGATTCTCAGGCTCCCTGGAACACACCGCTGAGGACAAAAATAAACTTTAATTCTGTGTCTGTGGAGGCCACCTTGGACACAGGAGCTACCCTTTCAGCTGTACGAGCAGACTTCGTCAGAGTGGATAATGCCTATCCAACCAAAACACGCCAGTGGGTGGGTCCACCTGTAAGCCTTGCAGACAACGCTCCCTGCACCCCTGATGGTGTCACTTAGCTATCCATCGGCTTCATGAACAAGCGCTTCTACCAGCGTTTTGCCATAATCCATAACCTGTCAACCCCTTTCATTCTAGGAATGGATTTTATGATCAGAGCCTCGATTACCATCCACATCCCCTCCAGAACTGTATTTATGGATGAAATTCCTTGTCCTGTTGATGAGGTTGTGGACTATACAGTTGAACCACTGATTGAAAAAGACACTATTATGACCTTGGACACCCTACAATCTTCACTGGTGACAAAAATAGATGAGGCGAACCTTGAGGAACAACAGAAAGAGGCCATGTTCAGTCTTCTTACCCAGTTTGGTGACATGTTTGATGGTAATCTTGGACACACTTCCCTGACGGAACACACAATTGATACAGGTCAGGAAAAGCCAATAACTCTCCC